ATGCTACATGCACTTTTACAAGTTGTTTGAACTGAAATGTGTGTTGGCAGTGTGTGTACACAACCACCCTATAATCATAAAAATCCACCCAGTGCTTTTTTTTTTTTTAAATCCCCCAAAATAATAACCCCTTTCTCAAATCAAGCCATTCTCAGACTCTGGCCAGATGTACGTCACACAGACCCAGGCCCCTCCCACGAGTCGACTATTGACTGACACTGGTCAGCACAGACCCACTCTGAGTGAGCTGTCATCAGTCCGCCACTGTTTCACCGCCGGAGCAGATGTAGACAAGAATGGCTCCGAAGCGATTGAGGTGTTTTGTTGTTGGATGTAATAATGAACAAAGCAGTCGTCATTTACTCCAGACATCTGAGCCGCTGAAGACACAGTGAATTACATTTGTTTTTTAAGAGAATGTGCCCCCGATCTACCTAAATACGTCTATGTTCGCGTGAATCATTCGTGATCCAGCTTCACCTACAGAAGAAGTGAGTGTAAGGCTCTTTTATGAATCTTTGCAAATCGCCTTTCCTAATAATGTGCTAGTTAGCAAGTTCCGCAGCTAAATGCGGCTAAAGTTTAGTCTCATGAGAACGGCTCGTCACCCCACGGAAGAGAGGGGCAGGGTCAGCAGCAGAGGGCACCATCTACTCTATAAACGTATCTATAAACGGCTTGGAAGAGAGGGGCAGGGTCAGCAGAGCTCATTAGCATTTAAAGAGACATGCACTGAAACGGGTCGCTGTGAACAGAGCTGTTTTTGACAGGGTAAAAAGGTGTTGTTTTACACTACCATTGAGAAATTTTAACCAAAGTATGTTATAGACTTTTCATGAAGACCCTAAAGGATCATACCAACTTGTGGAAAATGGGCATCTGATGTCCCCTTTAAATACATTTGTACTGTTTATATGGATTAATCCCATGTTCACTGATTCATTCCCAATGATTCAGTCCTTCAGTCCATATTATAGAAAGAGATGCTCCACATTAATAAGCATAAAATAAGATATATTTGTATGGATGCAGCACATGAGAGTCTAATTGTTGGCAACGACGTGCCAAAAAGTTTAATACCCGGAAATGTACTGTGGTGTGATCTAAAAACACACTGTATTTTCAATTGTATTATAAGTATTTTGCATGCAGTCTTCATGAGCTCATATAAACTGAGAGACTTTGTGGAATATTTGTATTTTCAAAAAAATTTTTGTCACACTGCAAGACCTTTAAAAATGAACTAGTGAAGGCCAAAAAAAAAGCAGCCATGTTCATTTGTCAAATACCCAAAGACAACTAAATGTGAGCAGACCTTCAAGACGCCCTGCTGTATGAGAGGAGAAGAGTGGTTGACCAGAACGAGAAGAGCCTCCGGCTGGACGAGTTTGTCCATCACCTCCTCCAGCAGGAGGTCCGGCAGCAGGAGCAGAACCCCTCTCAGCAGATCGTACAGACCGCAGCAGATCAGAACCAGACAGTCTTCAGCACTGGATCTGAATGATTCAGAAAACACACACATGAATCATCACTGTGAAGATGAGAAACATCAGATCTTCAGCTGTGACTCAGAGCCTGTTAACCAAAACTTTCAGCATGCAAAATACACACGAATCTGTCACAAAAATAACTACAATGTTCCCATAACAGAAATTACTCATACTGTGATATCAGTACAAACAAAAGGAAAATCAATATTTGATAGACTTGGATAAAAAGCAAAGTGTTTCCCAACAAGAGCACCAATGACAGCTCCGAAATATGGTTTGTGGATAGGAGCTCAGAGTTTAGTCGTTAACATTTAATGAGTTTAAGTGATTATACAGTAGATGGGATATATCTTTAGTGCAGGAAAGGCAATGACGAAGACAGGAGGCAATTACCCAGTAACTGTTGACTGAAAGACCACATTAAAGAGATGATGTAACTTATAAATGAAGGCTAATATTATAAGTCATTCATCTCCAAAACTCAGCGGCAGAAATTAGCATAATTAAAGAGTGTTATTCATCGCACAGAATTTAAAAGATATATTACGCACATCTAGAACAACTAAACACATTATACAACGCATTTGAAAAAGGCTAAACGCTTCTGAGGTGTTTCAATTTGCTCCCTAGTTCAGTAGTAAGCACACTACCTAGGGACTCTACCATTTCTAAAGGTGTCCTATTGTCAAATTTTTTTTCTTACTGAAGACAGTTCCGTACAAAAAAGTATACTTGCATAAAATATTTTGCATGATTTCACTGTAAATGCCAACTTGTTACAGATACTTGTTACACTAACTTAGAAAGCATTACAAACCATTTACAAGGCTTAAAAAAAATTAACTTTGCAGAAATGTCAGCCCCTGCAGTTTTTCATTAAAGCATAACAGGGTTATTATCGTTAACAGAAACTACAAACAACAACAAAACAACTTTTCGTTACTTGAAATAAAACAAATTAACTTCAATAACTTAAATAACATTAACTGAAATTAAAAAAAAATTTTTTTAAAAGTATTTTATTTCAGCTAGTTGCCAAGGCAACATTTCTCATTTTCTTTTAGTTTGTAGAACAAACTAAATTAACTAAAATGAATGAATGAAAATAAATAAATAAATAATAGTAATACAATTTATAATAATTTTAATTATTAAAATACTATATTAATATTGATAATATTAGGCTGTGTGTCCACCAAAGCGTTTTTTCCCCGAGGCTAGCATATTTTTTCAATTGTTTTTAATGGGAGCGCCGCATTGCTTAAAACGCCAGGTGTGTGCTGAATGCTGAGCGTCTTTTTGATTCATCAACTCTCGGCGCCAAGAAAAAAATGCCCGAGGGCTCAGCGTGAAAAAGATGCTCAGCACTCGGGTGTTTTTTTCTTGGTGCCGTGAATTGATGAATGTTCAACTTTGGGTAAAAGTTCATCACTGTCACTTTTTATTCAGCTAACCAATCGCAGTGAAGGAGGGGCGGGACTAATAACGACCAACTGTCACACCCTGCTTGTACTACAACTGAAGTTAATATTACTTGTCTCCGAGTATTTATGCCTTTACCAGATTAAATTGCCAGACTATCATATTATTGTTATGAAAAATAATGCTTGGAGAAACATTTCATTCACGATGCGTCTGCCATATTACTTCAGCGGATATTCCTTATCTTAGCAACCACAGCGTCTCAACTGAAAAAAAAAACCGGTGCGCTCTCAAGCGCTCACAGCCTGGGGTTTTCAGCTGGCTAAAAACGCTTTGGTGGACACGCAGCCTTAATATAACAGATAAATTAAAATCTATACTATATTAATAACAATAATACTATATAGTCATTTAAAAAAAATAAAATTACAAAAACAGCAAATTTTCTAAAACTTCAATTAAGGCTAAAATGAAAACAGAAAAGAGAAAAATAAAATCTAATTCAAAAATATTAGATTCAGACAAAAACTACAATAGCATATCAATGATGCTAAAATAACACTAATGTAGGGCAGTGCAAATAATCAAATGCGATTATCATGCGCATCTCGTCAGTAAAGACGGTTCTGTGATTAGTAGTAAATCTCCATCACGTGCTTTCAGATGTAGCGGCATTTAACACACAGAGCCGCAAAATATCACGTTCATTATTGCAGGCAATACCTCGCTGATAATAGGGATGCACGATATTATCGGACCAATATCGGAATCGGCCGATAATGGCTTTTAATGTAAATATCGGTATCAGCCCGATATGAAAAATTAAGCCGGTATGTCTTGCCGATAAGAGGAATACATTAACTCACATGAGCTCAGGGTGTGCTAGCGATTACATCACGTCAACAGTGTGGCACATTCTTGAAGCAAAGTTTTGCCTGAATGATGATTAGATTCACTGTTTTGGATCGCTGCATTTAAACTGAGAATGCATGTACAGAATGACGCGTTCGGTGTGTGATATGGTAAACAGTAATAGCATGTGCAGCGTGAGCAGCGGCAGCCTCCCCCGGGTCCTAATGCCCGTTCTGTAAGGAGTTTTAATTCCATAGGGGGCGCTGTAGTCCTACTTCTAATAAGATGAAAGCAAAATACACAAATAATTATTAGACTGTTTATGATTAAATAAAGCAGTAATTGATTCCATAAAACCATGAGTATGTTTTGATTTAAAGGTCAGAAGCTATAGCTTACATGAACAACAACAGCATCAAAAAATAAAAAATCACAAACATGACACTTAAATTAAATAATTTTATATATACTGATTTATTCATTAATGTGTAATATTTTTAAAACAAATTATAAGCTCTAAAAGATTTTCAGAATAAAACAGCTCTTTTGCTTTAGACCATTTACAAATGTTAAATCTTAAAATAAAATGTTAAGGTTACCACTGCATCTTCTGAAAAAAAAAAATGCAGTGACTGAATAGTGACTGAGTAGTTTATTTATAGTTATTTTCAAATCTTCAATGTACTGTCATTATAAAATAACTTTATTATTGTTTATTTAATTAAGTTCTTGTTAAAAACGAACCAAGATTAAAAATAATTTGCTTATAATTTCTGCACAGGAGAGACTTGGTGTTGTTTCCAAACAAAAAGAAATATATCGGTATCGGCTATCGTCTAAAATGAGTTATATGGGGATATATGAGGATATCGGCAAAAATCCAATATCGTGCATCCCTAGCCGATAATGAACGCGATACTGCGTAGCTTGTCAGTGAACTACGGCTCTGTGTATTATTTGCACAGCCTTACACTAAAGTGAAATAATTTGGCCTGAAGTAGGCCTATTATCACGACAATATGAATATATAAAATACAGTATATATATTTTGGTTAATGACGACTTTTCTCATGTGGCTTGATCATAATTACTAATTACATTATGAGACATTTTCTGTTAATCAAAATGTCATAACTGGATCTTCCAGTGAAAAATCAGACTTCTCAAATTATTTACTGCGCTTAAACTCCGCCTCTGCAGGCTCACACTCATCTGCATACACGTTTGAATGCCACGCCCACATCTCAACATCCAATCAACAAACGATGCACAGAACCGAGGCCCTGTCCTACATTTTTCTTTCTCGATAATCCGTTTCACTCGGATGTACTTTAGTTTTATCGTGTTTACAATGTTGGATACAATTTTTCTCTCTTTGCATGGAAATGCTAGGATTTCCAACAATATAAAATCATCTGGTATTTTCAGAGTACCTGTCATTACTGGAGTCCGCCTTGCTGTGTCTGTCATACCCGGGTGAGTAGGTGTAACTTTCCCAGTCGTCCGGTGGAGCGGCACGGTCAGCCACGGTGGGCCAGCGAGCAATAGTCAGAGAGCCGTTCTGTGCGGGAAAAGCCAAACCCAGACTGGCCAGGTTACTGTGGCTCCTCTGGAAGGACTGGATTCCCTTCAGGCTGTCCGGTCGGCGTGGCGCTTCCTCGCTGGTCCAACTGAAATGGTCCTCAGAGTCCACCGGGCTGCCCGCTGGGCCGTCATGCTCCTCCTCTACGCTGATGGAGGGCGTTCGGTTTCCCGTGACGCTGCTCTCCTCATCACCGCCCACGTTCTGAGAGTCACATATTGTCTTTGCCGACTCACAGCTGCTGAGGAGCTGCTCGTCTCCGGTCCGCTTCAGGGTCTCCATGCTGCCCAGGGCATGCTGGGTACTCAGGGATGTCCCCTCAGGCTCAGTGGTCCCCATCACACTCCCATGGGTCAGACGGGGTGTCAGAGCCGGAGAAGAGTGCGGAGACGGGCCAATGCTTGGGGGCCGCAGTGACAGATCTTCATCACCATGCTCAGGGGAGGAAGTGTGGCGCACTGTGGGACAAACAAACAACATTTAGTCAGAAACTACGTTTTCAAGACAAGTTTGACAATGATAAGTTTTTCATGCTCAGATTTGCCTCTTCAGTTGCTCTTTTTTCACAAAGCGTGATCTCTTCTTTCTCTGCTGCACGTTTTTTATATCATTGCCAAACATTAAATATATTATTGCCCAGTTCTTTATGAAACAAAATGCAAAATGTAACTATATTAATCACACAGCTCTACAGTATACAGCAGGTAAAATAAGTATTGAACACGTCACCATTTTTCTCAGTAAATACATTTCTAAAGGTGCTGTTGATATGAAATTTTCACCAGATGTCGATAACAACCCAAGTAATCCACACATACAAAGAAAACAAAACAAAAACACCTCCTGTATGGAAAAACTAGTCGCATGCATTGCTCAGGAGTGATTTTGGCCCATTCTTCCACACAAACTCTTCAAATATTTCATATTATTATTAGACCATAGATTGAGAGGAAAGAGTGCTTAGAAATAGGCTTATTATTTTTATAATGTAAAAAAACAACTGCCAATTCAAATTCATACATTTAGATTTTTTCATCTTCAGAACATGATGATGAAACATTTTAACTTGCAATCATATTAAGTAAATATTAAGAAAATGTTAAACAAAATTACAAAATGAAGGATGAATGATGTTTGAGAGCAACATCTTATTCTTACCAATAGTAATACAATTTTTTTACATACAATTTAATAATATTAATACAAGCTATTTAGCTTTAAAGGGGTCATATGATGTTGCTAAAATCAGCTGGTGTCTTGGCTTTCCATGCCTTTTTGCACCTCCCTTTCTTCATGTGTTCAATACTTTTTCCCGGTGTCATTCCATTTTATTACACATAACTTTCTGAACTTGTTTGTTTTGTTTTCTTTGTATGTATGGATTACAGCACCTTTAGAAATATATTTACTGAGACATCATGATGTAGACATGTGGGGGCGTGTTAGAACGAGCCGTTTTAGGTAGGCGTGGTTGACTCTTAACTTTTATAAAGAATATCTCTTTGGATTTGAGACTTTAGTCTTTGCAACTTTACAGATCTTCTTTATGCACCAAGAGCTTGTAACACTTCAAAGAGAAAGGAAAACTTGAAATCGCATCATATGACCCCTTTAAAGAGTAACGGCGCATTGACGGGAGCAACACTGCGCTGCATGTAAGTTAATTTTGTCATGTGACACCACATTTATTTGCATTAAAGCCCCTTTTCTTGACAATAAGTGTTCCCAAACTAGTTTTTGCAACATTTTAAGTATCAACATAGAATTTAGGCACTAAAGTTAAAGACTTGAGAAACTGCACCAATAAATGCCATTTCCATCAGTTATATTGGTAAAAACTGATGGGCTAAACCCAAAAAAATCCTTGGATGGAAGCCTGGCTTATAAGGCATAAAGATATTAAGATAATATAAACATTATAATCATGATTTTCTCTAAAGCTGCTTTCAGATTAAGTATATTGTGAAGACCACTATATACTGTAATATTTGACTTGACAGGCAGATCTGTGATGTAATTGATTTGTATTCATTAAAGGTCACGCGTTTCAAAACTTAACAAGGCGCAGCAGTGGCAAACAGTCAGACAAGGACATTTCCAGTGAATAATGCTTATAAAGTGCGACAGAATGAGTAAGCATGATTTTTATTTTTATTTTGACCTTCTCATGAATAACCGCATTATCCTCAGCGGACGGCCGGGAGTTAATGATTGTAAGTCTGCTGCTTTAATGTGACTGGAGGTGGCGCTGACCTCGGGGCGGCAGTGATGCGTTACCTTCGGCAGGCGTCTCTGTGAAGACGGAGGGAGAGAGTGAAAGCACAGAGCTGCAGGCTGATTTCCCTCCACTGCTGGAGTGCCGCAGGTACATCATAGACTGAACCTTCTCCTGGTACAGCTTACCATCTGATGAGAAAAAAACATGAACTAAAATGCTCTTGTTTACGGTCAAATCTACATCTCAGTACGATAACTAACAAAGAAGAATGAGCTGTAAACTCAATGCCAGACTACTGCAACAATAAATGAAATCAGTTTAACCTGCTTAGTTTTCAGAAATCTCTTAACATAAACGTGTTCTTCACATTTTTTTCTTTCGACTATCAGAATAATATCAGCATTGCTAAAAAAGCTTATAAATACGGTTAGAAACAATATCTGATTTAAATTAGAATGCCAGAAATGTCATGAGTTTGATACAATCTTTATATATAATGAACAAAATTTAGGGCAAAAAATATATATATAATACATAAAAAATAATAATAATAATTAAAAAAAAAATGAATCACACTAACATCAGGGTTATTAAAAACTATAACAGCAAAAACTATAAAATAAAACTGAGATAAATATATAATTATATACAGATATGTGTGTGTGTGTATGTGCGTGTTTTGTTATAATTTTATACTATTAAATAAAGAAATGTATAAATAAAAGAAAACATGAACTGATTAAACAGCTTTAATGACTAAAAAGGAAAAAAAAAAGTTTTTGGTTTAAATTTTTAGTAACTCGCAATCCATGTACAGTAGATATGCTATTTATAAGCCATTTAAGAAAAACAGACAAATTAAGGTTAAAAAAATATTTTTTCTGTTTTAAAACCAGTGTCATTTTTCTTCTTCTGTGGATCAAGGAGGCAAAAGCAGTGTGAACATTCTGCTAAACATCTTTTTTTGTGTTCCACAGAAGAAATGAAGTCATACAGGTTTGGAAAAATGCAAATGATGACAGAATGATCATAAACTATTGCTTTAATGACTCGATCAGACACAGGTTTTCTGAAGGTTTGCTCACCGATGTGCAGAGAGAAGTAGAAGCTGGTGGGCGTGTGGCACACGTAAGTGTTGGTGGGGGGGTGAACGGCCAACAGGAAATTATAGACCAGCCGCAGCAGGTCCAGGTCCGGAGGAGACCCCAGAACCTCCTGGATGATTTTGACAAACGAGAGGCAGACCTCCTGCGGGATGGAGGTCAGGTACTCGTCTCGATGCTCCTGTATAAGTAATGATGAAGATGATGTTACAAAATGACCCCCACACACTGAACTATGATTGGTCTTCATTCCTGCATTCTTTTCTTTCAGCATACCTTCAAGTGTTCGTTCATGTTTATTTCATGCAGTAACTAGTAGTAAAGAGAAGATCGGTTAACGTACCGCTTGCTGGTGCGGCTACAGTAATGTCACGTAACAATAAAGAGCATCAAAACCGCATTTATTGTTCGAATTTCTTTATTTAAAAAAAAAAATGAAAACTGAGACTTTGTTTCATATTAAAAATAACAACAAAGCTTATTGCAATAACTGGATGGTAGGAACACCAAAACTGTTTCGACCAAAACTGAAAATTAATTTCCGGTTGAATATTTTCAGATGCCAAAATTTTGGTGCATCACCAGTTGATTCTCATGGACAGCTGACAGAAAACAAGACTCACGACCACATTTCAAAGACTACAATCTAAACTCATCAGACCTCATGTGTTTGTGCATGTAGTGAACGTCTCACCTGAAGCACCTGGCAGGCGAGCAGGAAGCGATGAACCACCTGGGCCTTGAGGAGCTGTCGAATGTTGAACATCTGCTGAGGATGATGCACCCGGATGAGGATCTCTAAAGCAGTCAGCAGCGTCTCCCACACGCCACACTATACACACACATACAGCTGTCACAGTTAGCTCTCTATAAAAATAACCCAACTTATACAATATATGTTCTCATTCAAATGAGAGCATGTACCTGCGCTTTGGCCCATATCTTCCAGTCCAGCAGTATTTCAGACAGCAGTCTGAGATCTTGCAGCACCACAGTGGATTCAGCATCCAGATGAAACTGTCCGTCTTCTCCGATCGTCAGGATTGGCCCGCTGCAGCAGCCGTCCAACAGCGTCTGTTACACCATATGCACACAGACACATATTTGCCGTGCTGTACCCTAAAATCAAACTCCAGTGGTATTCAAAAGGCTAAAACAGAGTGAGTATTTTTCAGACTGATTAATCTGATGCATTTAAGAAAACAAGAACATACTGAGAGGGACAAAGCAGTCTCACTGGAAGTCTCCATTACCAGTAACAACCAGCAGGGTGCACTGTTTAGTAAAACAGCAGCACAAGCACACAGGTTTATTACGGTTAACTAAAACTAAATCCATAAAAAAAACAATGTAACTTTTTTTTCAAAAATTAATGAAATTATATAGGCATTTTTGTTTTTTTAATGACAAAAACAAACAAAAAACACAGCAAAACCACTAAAACTTTCAAATAAAACTAAATAAAAAAATATATAATTGAAAATGTTTACAAAAACTATACTGGTATTTCAATGATACTAAAATACTGGAACTGGTGATATACAGGTGCATCTCAAAAAATTAGAATATCATGGAAAAGTTCTTTTCCACAAGGAGTGTAAGCCACAGAAGGTCATCGCTGAAAGGGCTGGCTGTTCACAGAGTGCTGTATCGAAATATATTCATAGAAAGTTGACGAAGGAAAAAGTGTGGTAGGAATAGGTGCACAAGCAACAGGGATGACCGCAGCCTTGGGAAGATTGTCAGGAAAAGCAGATTCAAGAACTTGGGAGGGCTTCACAAGGAGTGGACTAAAGCCGGAGTCAGCGCATCAAGAGCCACCACACACAGACGTCTTCAGGAAACGGGCTACAGCCGTCACATTCCTAGAACCAAGCCACTCCTGAACCAGAAACAACGTCAGAAGCGTCTCACCTGGGCTAAGGAGAAAAAGAACTGGACTGTTGCTCAGTGCTCCACAGTCCTCTTTTCAGATGAAAGTAAATTTTGCATTTCATTTGGAAATCAAGGTCCCAGAGTCTGGAGGAAAAGTAGAGAGGCACAGAATCCAAGCTGCTTGAAGTCCAGTGTGAAGTTTCCAGTCAGTGATGATTTGGGTGCCGTGACGTCTGCTGGTATTGGTCCACTGTGTTACAGCCGTCTATCAGGAGAGTTTAGAGTACTTCATGCTTGCTTCTGCTGACAAGCTTTTTGGAGATGCTGATTTCATTTTGCAGCAGGACTTAGCACCTGCCCACAGTGCCAAAACGCCTTCTAACTGGTTTGCTGACCATGATATTACTGTGCTTGATTGGCCAGCCAACTCGCCTGACCTGAACCCCATAGAGAATCTATTAGGGGTATTGTCAAGAGGAAGATAAGTAACATCCGACCAAACAACACAGACGAGATGAAGGCCACTATCAATAACGCCTCAGCAGTGCCACAGGCTGATCGTCTCCATGCCACGCCGCATTGAAGCAGTAATTCGTGCAAAAGGAGCCCCAACCAAGTATTGAGTGCAGAATTAAACCTACTTTGGAGATCTTGAACATTTCTGTTTTGTAAATCTTTTTTTGATTGATCTTTCAGAAAATATTCAAATTTTTCGTAACCATCAGAATTAAAACAAAAAAAGCTTGAAATATTCCAGTTTGTGTGCAATGAATCTAGAACATAAGAAAGTTTGCTTTTTTAAATTAAATTACAAAAGTAAAGAACTTTTCCATGATATTCAAATTTTTTGAGATATTGAATTTTTAATTTTCCTAAGCTGCAAGTCGTAACCATCAGAATTAAAACAAAAAAACTCTTGAAATATTTCAGTTTGTGGTCAATGAATCTAGAACATAAGAAAGTTTGCTTTTTTGAATTAAATTACAAAAAATAAAGAACTTTTCCATGATATTCTAATTTTTTGAGATGCACCTAGTTGGAAAAAAAAAAAACATGATATATAATATGCATCTAAATTTTTACATTTAAATTTTTTAGGAATCTTTGACAAACTAAAAAGCACAATAAAATATCAGGATATTCATGCTGCTGCTTAATTTTAAATTGTCACCATAAAAATATTGCGAATATCTAATGCATCAACCCAGATCATCACAGAATGAAAGGTTTTTGGCTAATTAACAACATCCGATAGGCTAAAACTCACCTTCAGAATGTGGTATCCCACAATGCACTTGGGCTTGATGAGAACCTGGTGAATCATGGAATAGCCGTGGTAACACTCCATCTCATGAGTGCGATGCTGGTTGTTCTTAACCAGAGACAGCAGCAGCTGCAGCGCCAGAGCTTGAGTTTTCTCACAGTCGCTCAACTCCACCGCCTACGAGAACAAACAAACAGACAGACAGACAGACAGAAAGAGATAGCGCAACGTGATTCAGTGTTCCTGCTGCTAAAATCACTGTATGTGTGAAATACATCACATAGTGAAAATGAAGTGAGCTGTGAATGTGTTTTCATGCTGACAATCTGGATCACAGTGTTATAACACACAGAACACAGGAAGCCTCAGCAAACAACACTTGATTAATAGTACTGCCTGCAAAACAAACATGATGTGCGCCAAAATACCTAAACTAAACTAGATCCATCTGCACTAAATTATTTAATCATTTAATAAATGTCAGCTATTTGGCATCATACCCAAAGTAGAGCATCTGAAGCTATTTTAATTAGCACTGCTCCTCAATTATTACTTTTTTGTCTCAGCATGGTTCACCCTTGTAAACTTGTAGCTGCTTTTCAACATACATGGTTTAGATAATGCCAATCATTTGTCTTGCTCGAAATTATGGAGTAAACACCACAAATTTCATGATTCTTTGCTGAAATGTCAAAATAACAGTATTTATCTGAAACAGAAATCCTTTGCCTGTACTGTCTGTCACTTTTTATCAATTTAATGCATCCTTGCTGAATAAAAGTTTATTTTTCTTACTAACCCCAAACTTTTGAACAGTAGTGTATGTTAGTTTAAAAATAGTAATATTTGCTTCTGTGTTTTTGTTATCATGACAGACTGATCTGAAAAGAGAGCGAGAGAGAGTGAGAGTGAGAATGAGAGAAACACAAAGCGAGGCTTTGATGTGACTGTCAAGAGATGTTTGAAGGATAATGTGAGGGAACACGGTGTGAGAGAGAACGTTCCGGGCCAGAACATGCCGACCAAAAAACAAATTTTGCCCACTGAATGAACAGTGTATTATCAGATCACCAGCAAAAAAAGATACCTTCACTAGAGACTTTAAAACGTAATATTCAGATTTACTTTCAAACATTATGGTTTTGATTAAAAAGCACAGCAAACAGATACAGTCAGAGCTTTTGTGAATCCGCATTCAAAAGTTCACAAAATGCAGTAAAAATTGCTGTATTTTTTCCATATGATGTTAAAGGGGTCATCGGATGCGACATGCACTTTTACATGTTGTTTGAACTGAAATGTGTGTTGGCAGTGTGTGTACACAACCACCCTATAATGATAAAAATCCACCCAGTGCTTTATTTTTTAATCCCGTTAAATCATTTCCCCTTTCTCATATCAAGCCATTCTCAGATGCCTTTCCGTGTGACGTCACACAGACCCAGGCCCCTCCCACGATTGACACTAGCGTTTTACCTTAGACCCTCCCTGAGTGAGCTGTCATCAGTCCGCCATTGTTTCGACGCCGGAGCAGGGGAAGACAAGAATGTCTCCTAAGCGATTGAGGTGTTTTGTTGTTGAATGTAATAATGAACAAAGCAGTCGTCATTTACTCCCGACATCTGAGCCGCTGAAGACTGAAGACGATTGTTTTTGAAGGGAATGCACCCCCAATCTACCTAAATGCGTCTATGTTTTGCATGAATCATTCGTGATTCAGCTTCACCTACAGAAGAAGTGAGTACAAGGTTCTTTTATGAATCTTTGCAAATCGGCTTTCCTAATAACGTGCTAGTTAGCAAGTTCCACAGCAAAAGTAAACAGTCTCATGCGAACTGCTCGTCACCCCAAGGAAGAGAGGGGTGGGGTCAGCAGAGCTCATTAGCATTTAAAGGAAAATGGACTAAAACGGCTTGCTGAAAACAGAGCTGATTTTACAGGCTGAAAAGGGTGTTACACTACCATTGAGAAATTTTAAACAAAGTATGTTATAGACTTTTCATGAAGACCCTAAAGAATCATATCAACTTGTGGAAAATGGGCATCTGATGACCCCTTTAAGTGAAATGAAATAAAATATAGAAAAACTTAATCTTATTTTATTTCAGCTAGTTGCAAAGACAACTTTCTCATTTTTAAGTACTAAAATTACAAAAAATAAGTAATTTATAAAAACTACATAGACATACTTGAAAAAACGAAAAAACAAAAACAAAAAAAACAAAAAAAACTTTAAAATTAAAGTGAAAACAGAAAATATGAAAATAAAATATAATATAATTTAAAATAAAACTATAATAGCATATCAATGGTGCTAAAATAACAATGAAATACAAATAATGTTTTAATACAAAAAATTTAAGAAATACTTTTAACTGATTATATCTCTGTTAATATGTTGTAACAAATATTGTTTTATTGTCTTTTTCTTTTTTATCTCTCCTGTTGAAAATCATCAATAAAAGGAGTTCAACTAAAAGATCTGGCCAAAACACATGAGCATTGTGTGTTTGTGTGCAGTAAAGCAGAAGTGCAGTGACAGATGAACTCATTTCCACACGTTCCTGGTCTTTACTAGTGACGGATACGCAGACAAACACATACCCGAGCGAACAGGAAGACAAAAGCGCCGGTGCCTCCAATCTTGTGCAGGACGCTGTGTAGACCGAGAACAGAAAATATGAAAATAAAATATAATATAATTTAAAATAAAACTATAATAGCATATCAATGGTGCTAAAATAACAATGAAATACAAATAATGTTTTAATACAAAAAATTTAAGAAATACTTTTAACTGATTATATCTCTGTTAATATGTTGTAACAAATATTGTTTTATTGTCTTTTTCTTTTTTATCTCTCCTGTTGAAAATCATCAATAAAAGGAGTTCAACTAAAAGATCTGGCCAAAACACATGAGCATTGTGTGTTTGTGTGCAGTAAAGCAGAAGTGCAGTGACAGATGAACTCATTTCCACACGTTCCTGGTCTTTACTAATGACGGATACGCAGACAAACACATACCCGAGCGAACAGGAAGACAAAAGCGCCGGTGCCTCCGATCTTGTGCAGGACGCTGTGTAGACCGAGAGCCTGGCAGGGCATCATGGTCCTGAAGAAAGGAGGCTCCAGGATGAAGCTCTGGACCTCTTTGGCACTGAAGGGCCGCTGGGAAGCCACCGCTGACTTGGCCTGGCCCTTCAGACGGATCACCGGCTCATATATGGTGTAGAGAGACGGCGTGCTGGGGGCATAAACTACTGCTAAACTCTCCTGTAAACACACAAATGCACAGAGACAAAGGCAAAGTTATTTTTCTTGCTCTGTTTGAAATAAAAGTTTTCAATGTAGCATGTCGACTCTAACATTGAGATCACAGGATTCCTGTGAGCCGATTAGATTTGCAGTGTGAGAGCTGTAAGAGGAAACGAGTGGCTTTCCTAACAGTTCTCCGCAGGAACGGACAGATTTGTTTGCTCTACAGTAATGAAAAATCAGGATGAAATGTTGTTTATTTGTCATAAAAATTTTATGCAAATATATTATTAACTCTATAAAGCCTACTGTATCATATCTGATACAGAACATTCTTAGGCATGTATATGATCAATATGATCAAAACTTTGCTGTTATTCCTGTCACACACAATCTACTCCATGCCTTCTGTCGTCTGATTGATAGTTTAGAGGTTTTTATCCAGTAAACGTAAGGATAACTTCATTAATATTTCCAGATGAACACTTACTGGACTGAAGCAACTTCGCTTTACTTGATTATCCAGACATCATTTTATAGAAAATCATGTTCTAATGTGAGTATCAAACATGATCATCAGGCTTTTGAGGTGTGTTTGTTTGTTCATCTCTCAATCATCATAGGATTGCATTGTATTATGTTTTTAGCATTTAAATCTCATCTTACGAAGACATATTATTGGAGATATAGAGTGACTGCTGGCAGTTATCATTTTATGTAATTATCTGCTTTACTGTTATAAAGATCTCAATGATTTGCATTACAAGCTTCAGAATTTCTTCAGAATCTTACTTTTTTGGCCATATAAATATCAGCATCTGCACCAAATTACATATTTTTATCAGGCTGTTTTTTTGTCTTCATAGTCTCACTATCAGGGATGCAAACTCATCATGGGTGAAAAAGGTGACAAAGACGGTTTTTATAAAATGTTTTAAACAATATTTTACACCCTTTATTATTCTTTTTTTTGACTCTATAGTTGTGCAGTAAAATTCACTTTAAAGATTCACATTTCATTCATGAAGATGACATGAAATAAATTATCTCCTGGTGGAAAACAAAGACTGATGAAAATGACATGAAATTACCTCAGCATCTGCACCAAATTACATATTTTTATCAGGCTGTTTTTTTGTCTTCATAGTCTCACTATCAGGGATGCAAACTCATCATGGGTGAAAAAGGTGACAAAGACGGTTTTTATAAAATGTTTTAAACAATATTTTACACCCTTTATTATTCTTTTTTTTGACTCTATAGTTGTGCAGTAAAATTCACTTTAAAGATTCACATTTCATTCATGATGACGATGAAATAAATTGTCTCCTGGTGGAAAACAAAGAAAATGGCATGAAATTGCCTTTAATATCCAGTAGATGGCAGCAGAGGATCACTCATTAGCTCCTTTGCCATTTCCACTCCCTAGTTTTTGTTTGTTTGTTTTTACACAACTTGCTTTTGGATTTATTACAAAAAGACTATGAAGTATAGCCAGAGCAGGAAGTCACATAGTTTAAAGTCTCATGTCATTTAAAAAATAAGTAAACAAATAAGCCCAGACACCAACAGCCTAGAAGGGTTAATTATTTAAATACTTAACTATTTAAATACTTAAGTTAATTTTAATGGTATTATAATTAAATAATGCATTAAACAGGGCTGTACAGTGATACATATATGTCGCACGTGCTACAAAAAAACTGGTCTGTGCGATGAATGCTGTAGTTTTGTTACTCTGAATTTACTCCGCATCACTTAATGCACAGGTCTGTTTTGACATCGGCTTGTCAGACAGTTCGTTCGGTCCATTCAGTGGCGAAGCCGGACGGTCACGCACTGCGGGGGGGCCCGCGATAACCTCCCCGTGCTGAGTTGTGGCGTATTATGTGTCAACTATTGCCAGAGATATTGTCAAAAGCATCAAATATTGGCAATATTAAGAGGATTTAGCATTTCCAATTAATGTAGGCCTGTTACATTCTTCTTATTATTAGACTTATTATTATTATTAGGTTACTTTTATTAAATTACAATTAATTTGCCCCGCAATAATGTCATAGCATAACACGCTGTGAGGATAATAAAAGTTTAGGTTATTAGCTTACTCCTCACCGAATTTTTTTTTTAAATGTGTAAAAAAAAAAAAAACAGGCCTATTCATTTATACAATGAATTAAAGGCCTATAATTAATGATTAACACTGCTGTCATCAATGAAAATTAAGAGCAGCTTTATTTCAAGCAACAACCTGTTTAACGCGAAATATGTTTCTTCTCATGTTTTTCACTATACGGGCCACAAGAGAAATATTAAGGGAATAATTTAAGACAGTTAAATAGCGTCAGCATATGTTGAAGTAGATTCGTCTCTCGTTGTCTCTGAGAGAATATGCGCCGTTAATGCAGCGTTAAGCTTCGTCAGATTTTTTTACTTTCACTTTCTTTTCATTTTGTTATAATGGGAAGATCTGCGAATGTGTACAACTACGTAAACATGCGAAGCCAGAGCGCGCACACACAAATAAAAAACAAGCAGGACTGTTTGATAGCGGGGGAGTTCAAGCGGGTACAGAATTGAGATGAGAAAGGACACCCCCCACACACACACACACACACAAATTTAAAAACTCACCGGATCTACACGAATCACACAAATGACCCATTTTGAATTCAAAATGGTGAATTTCGCCGAAAGGTGACAAGTTTGCATCCCTGCACTATATCACACTATATTAGCCATAAAAGCCTGATGCATCAAAACATGATACTGAACAAAAAACAAATGCAAACTTGTTTTATATTTTGTCTAAAGATTTTCTTATTTAAGGTTCAATAAACTCTTTCATTTAAAAAAAAAAAAGAAAAAAAAAAAAAGGGGATTTTCTGACTATTATTTCATATATCAGGCTGACAGGGTATTTTATTAAAAAAAAAAAAAGAAAAAAAAAAAAAAGGGGATTTTCTGACTATTATTTCATATATCAGGCTGACAGGGTTAATGTAATTCTTTTAATCTTGAGGCGAAATATCACCTGGGCATGTTATTTACAGGTTTCTTTAGATAAATGTGTACAATGCTTTATAATAGCACTAGATATTGTCAGAGACGACCAGAAAAAAGAAGCAAATTCATCCATGAGGAATGAAGGTTTCTGTGACTTTTCATGTCATGAAAAAATGACTTTTTCTGATGGCAGCAATTATCGAGCATGTAATGCATTAGCATACGAACACCTGGAACAGCATGTACTCATAAAATCACCGGTAATTAAGATGTCAGTGGGTAAAACTGCACAGAAAAAAACACTTAAGCGGGAAATGATGTAAAAATGGATAAATAATGTTGCCTGCTTTCGAGTGGCAGTGAAGGAGATAAACAAGCTATTGAACTGTGTCGCTGCCAGATACATTTGCATAAAAGCCTTCTGGTGGAAAATGTGACATTCTGGAAAAAAATAAATAAATTCATATTCATAGGTGCAGTGGCTTACAATAAGAGGTGCGATGTCGACGTCTGTATTCCTCATGAGGAGCTCTCGTATCTGCTCACACTGAAGACCCTCCTGTGTCACGTACTTGGACAGTGTCCCGTGAGGCTTGCCGTACTTGCAGGGCATGATGGAGGTGAGGTCAGGACCGCTGGCATACAGGCAAAATGCCTCCGCTGTGTCAATTCTGGAGCCTAAAACAACCAATAGCCCGTTTACTTCAGCACACCATTTTTCATTTATGAAAACGTTATAAAAATATAGCCTAACTTTGGAAAAATATCACTGATTATTACTGTATACTGTATTGTTGCATATAAATGAAATTATTAAATATCTTCTGTATTGTTTTAATGAAAATACAGTAAGGGTGGAAAATATGCTTAGATTAATTTAAACGTGTCTGCATTTTTTACATAAATATTGAAAAATAAATGAATATCATTTAAAAAATTAAAAATGTTTAAATGTTTTAGGATTGTTGTTGTATATAAATTTATTTTTAGTTTTCTTTTTAATTTTATTTTAGTAATGATACAATGTGCTTTTGTCAATTTTATTATTTTATTAATATTGCTATTTAGACAATTTATTTTTATTTTGTTTTATTTATTTTTTTTTCCAGTAATTAATGCTAGTGCACCAATTTAAAGTAAACATATTTCTCTTAGTTGACAAGGCAACATTTCTAATTTTTGTTTAAAGTTTTTGATCTAATGTTTATTTATATTGTATTTTATTTCCGCTTTATTTAAATTAACAAATATGTTTCTAATAGTCATAATAGTTTAATAGTATTTTGTAGTAGTAAAAATATTTAGAAAAAAAAAAGACTAACCAATTTGTATGTACAACTCTATAAAAGATTGATTAAATGATTAAATTTTATTTTATTTTTTTTAAGTTTTTCTTTGTCCATTTTACAAAAAGTTTTCAAAATAAGTTTGTCCTGATAAAAACTGTTCTCATGACATAAACAATTGGGCAGACCAAAAACATGTCACAGACAAGTTAGTGCAATGTTATTGACATGTCAATATTGTCATATCATATTGTCAACAGACAATAAAGAATAATAATAGAGCGTGTGGAGGATGAAAAGCTGTGACCTAAAGACTAACAAACAAACACATTGAGGATGGCACTGGAGCATCTAACCACTGCTAACCAAAGCTGGACTGGGGCCATTCATGACCTATTAGTAGCAACAGAACGGCTATTCTGTTCAGAAAAGCGTGTTGTGTGGAGGGAATGTGGAGAATTTGTGGCTCACGCACAGAAACCTCCAGCAGCAGGAAGATCCCACGTTACCAACAACATCACTTCCATACTTTTGTCAATTCACTGTTTTTTCTATTATTTCTTTTAAATATTCTTTATAAATATTTATTTTTATTTATTTACACTGCTTTTAGTGCTTCAACTTAAACTTCAGTTAGTTGTCAAGGCAACATTTCAAATTTTCTATTTAAATTTGTCATCTAATGTTTATTTTCAGCTGTCTTTCACTTAACAAATATGTTTTTAATCGTTTTAGATTTAAAAAAAAAAAATCGGATTGTTCTGACGAAAAACAAAAACACTGTAGAGAAGGTCTTATGGGAACTGGTTTCATACCATTAAAGAGCAGCAGCGTGCCCATATCCCAGCGTGCACTTGGGCTGGCCTGCTCCTCTGAGGGGTGCTGATAGTGTCCAAGCATACAGTAGGTCTTATTACTGTCTGATGACAAACTGGACTTCCTGAGCAGAGTAAAGTCTAGCGAGACGTCACACTTCCTGTATGTGGCACAGGAAGGCTCGATTAAAACATGATTCTGACTGCATGAGGAACTGATGCCTGCAGCCCTGGTTGAACTGTCCCTTTAAAACATCCACCAACCAACTGCAGATGCAGACTCACCTAATGCCGCCCACCCAGAGGGTCAGCTGACCGTGGATGTTCTTCTTGCCCTCGGGCTGCTGCGAGTACGTGAGAGCCAAGTGCTGCCACCTGCCTGCTGTCAGCACACCATCTCCAGACTCAGCCTGGGCCAGCAGACCCGCCTTCATCTCGTCATTTGGATCGATGCAGATCCTGAACTCACAAATCAAGAGCCACTTTAGTAATATAGCACTGAAAACATTGACTTTTTGTGGCTTGTGCAAGGAAATTATCCCAACTTTGCACAAATAATCTTTCCATGAGCACATACAATGACATCTCCAAGCCAGTATTTTCCTTTAGATCTTTAGATCTAAAATCTTTTTAAAAGATCCAAAAAAAAAAAAGATCTAAAATCTTTAGAAATTAGATTTTAGTTACATTTTCAGTTTTAATTACAATTTTAATTACATTTTTAGTAATTTTATTACTATTTTTAAATATTACTTTTCAAGTTCATTTTTATTTCAGTTTTAGTTTCGGTTCATTTTTCAGTTAGTATGTTGGAAACAAGAAGTCTAAATCTAAAAAATCCTTTTTTTTTTTTACACACATTTTTAATTAATTAGTTTTTTAAAAACTTTTTTATTACTATTTTAGGTTTATGTTTATTTCAGAGAAGCCAAAATCTAAAAAAGATAACTTTTTACCCAACACAAAACGGCATTCACAACCTATTTTCTTTCCAAAACACAATTAAGTAAATTTTTCCATAAGAACTTGATTAGATGGTCTAAAGTGGTGCTTTATACAAGAATGGAGTTATAGCTGAGTGACTTTGCAGTGGAACATATACTGGCCTCATGAAACACCACTGACATCCACTTTAGAGGGGTCTTTTTTGAGGGGCAAATGTACTTGGTGCAACTTTGCAGTTTTTGCACTCACCTGAATGTAAAGGCTCCGGTGGAGATGTTCACCCACACCTGAAGCATCAGTGCCTTAGAGCCCATGGAGAGGACATGGAGGAGGCATCTGTCTGTCTGCTGCTCCGGGACATGAGCGGGACCATGCAGGGCCTCCTCTTCTGCAACACACAGCCAAACTAACTCATCAAACCTATTAGATATAGTGTGATGATGTTCATGTTTCAGTATTGTTACGGTTAACTAAAACTAAACCTATTCAAAAAACATTTTTCGGTAACTGAATTAAAGACAAAATTAATACAAATAAAATATATTTTATATGAAAAACTTAAAATCAAAAATTAAAAATGTTGCCTTGGCAACTAACTGAAAGAAATATGTTTAAGCACTAAAATGACTAAAACTAAAATAAAATAAAGAAAAAATCTAATCAAATAATACAAAATAATAATAATAATAATAATAATAATACAAATAATAATAATAAAAAAATAAACACAACAGAAGAGCACATAACAACATTTTGTAAAATTTAATTAAAAGAATAAGAAATATTGTCTGTAAATGAATTAATGATTAAATAAAACAAACATCATATGAAAAACTAAACCTTAAAAAAACAAAAATGTTGCCTTAGTAACTTACTGGAATAAATAAGTTAAAGTTGAAGTACTAAAATGACGTAAACCTAAATTAAAATAATTTAAAGAAAAATATAAATAAATAATGAAAATGACAAAAGCACATAACAACTAGTGGTCGACCGATATATCACCAAGGCCGATATATCGGCCGATATTTGGCATTTTTCAAATTTTTCTGTTTGGCCGATGAGTTCAAGGCAGGACCTTTATTTTGACGGCGCTGCCTGAGCACACAGTGTTCACATTCTCCTTTTTGGCTGTCATCGTTAACAGTTCTGTCTAATACAGACAGAAATCTGTCTAATAATCAGAAAGAACTGTTAAACAAAGGAATTAAAATGTATACAAAAAAGTATTATAGCGATTGCTTTTATATGATTAGTTATAGAAAGGCAAACATTATAATACTTTCTCGTTTGCCGTCAGCATTCAGCAAATACGCATTTATATAATTTAAACAAATCTTTGAATGACTAATGAACATTTAATTTAAAAAATCTTGCAAACTTAGTCGGATCCAGCTGTGAGATCTTGTGAAGTGTGCATTTTAATCCTGCATGATCCCGTGTTCTCTGCGTGACTTTCGGTCCGTGTGAATTGAATGCTGACAGGAGGAGAGTTCAGCTTCACTGGAGATGCGCAATCGACAAACTTAAAACTCATGATTTCTAATTATGCTGCGCTTCATGCTTTTGCCCACTGCCATATTCATGTCATTTTCAATGTGTGCTGTTTGTAAAATGAGTGTTACCTTAACTTTATTTGAAAAAATATGATTCCCAATGCACACAAACTTCCCAGA